CCCTGTAACCTACCATATTATAGTAATATGAGGTGACCTTTCATTTTATTCATTATTAAACTAATCTAAGTGTCAAATAAATAATAACTGATATTTATGAATACATTTTTTTTTAAATTTTACACTCAAAGATAATTCAAGAACCATAAAAAATTTCAATATTATAAACTTTATATACAGAATTATCAAATACTTTGCATTTGCATATTTAGCTTTCAATCAATATGACATATAGGTGTTTTAAAAAAATTAATCTCAGTGGTCTGATTCAACCGGCCCACTGCCCCAGCCAACAAAATTATTTAAAAAATTGAAGAAAAAAAGAAAATTACTGTATAGTGTGAGATGGGTGAAATCCATGGTGGGGCTGGGATGGTATTGACCCCTATCTGTAAAAGTCCTTCCCTGGGATCTATTAAAATTCCTGGATCCGCCACTGAACCTTTCTACTCAAAAAATAAATATGAAGTTGTTTATATTAAATATATTTTAACTATTAACAATTACATAATAAATTGATACATTTTCTGTTAGTCTTGTGACCGACAGTTTTGTTGCTACTTAAACCGTTAAAAATATTGAAATTGAAATATGGTTAGCTTTCACGACTTGTCTATAAAAGGCCTGAAATAGTATTTTATTGATTATACATAATATAATAATTTTATATCTGCAATAATGTTTGTTTATTTGGCCTGTTTTTGTCAATCATTTCTGTGAGGTGAATTTCAGTTGATTGACCTTCAGCAGTTGTTTAACCTTTACCATAACATTTTCTTCTCCTTCAGGACATTCACTCTCCGTAAGTCAGAAACATGTGAGCAGATTGGCATCAAGTTCTTCAAGCAATCTAACCAGGCACTTGGTAAACTCCAAGAATCTTATTGAGAAACACACAGTAGTATCAACCAATCACCTGTCTCCATCGATAAAGCTTCGTCTCATTACACCGGAATGTCCGTTATGGTACAGTGGGACTGATGATTGCCCCTTCAATGAGCCTTATTGGGCATTTTATTGGCCTGGGGGTCAAGCTTTGACCAGGTACAGTAGGAATTAGATATATGGGGCTTGCAATGCCAAACCACCATCAGTATTATAAAAACATGAAAATTTACTTTTTTTAATATATTCATCTTCTCTATGTTAAAGCTTTAAAATGATGGGTCATTTACTGGAATCAACTTACTATTGCTAAGGTTATGAGAAAAAGTATTACAGCTTTGGTGTACTAAAGTATACAATACTGCCACATTCTTATGCTAATTATTCAGTTTAACAATTAGTATCAGTTTAACAATTGGCATTAGTATGCTGGTTTTGGTAAGGTAAGCCTTATACAGTTTTATCGAAATTAGACAAACTGGTAAAAAAAAAAAGGTGAATGCACCAACACTGGCTGCAAGGCTAATATTAAGTAATAATTGAACAAGATGCTACTGCTGATTATCAATTATTGAAAAGCGTTTGGCACAACAGCATTGATGTTCAGTATTTAGGGATTCAAAACAATTCTCATAAGCAGTGGCGGACCTACCAGCGAGGAGTCGGGGGGGGGGGGGAATTTCTCCTCTTTGGACAAGAATGAACCATGGACAATAGGTCAATGAATGAACCCCCTGTTGTCCGACACCACGATGATGATAAACCATCCTAAACCATAAAATCAATCCCTATGAACCCCACTGATTATATTTGGGACCCTGACTGAGGCTCTAGATGACCCATTGGTTCAGAATCCCAGTTTTTTTTAACCCCTATAAAAAATTACTGGCGTCACCTTTACTCATAAGTAACATCAAAATTCATTGCTTTTTTATTTGGACAGGTTCATCCTAGATCATCCTGACATGTTCCGTGGAAAGTCTCTCCTGGATGTTGGCTGTGGGTGCGGTGCATCGGCGATTGCTGGAGCCATGGTTGGAGCAAGGACGGTGTTGGCCAATGACATTGACCCAGGTAATTATGATAATGATGAACTTGATAAAGGTCTGTTCTCTCCTGTCAAGCTCACTATTTCATAGCTTGTATTCTCAACCCCCCCCAATCGGACGAGCATGGTTGTCGAACAAAAAAAAAATACTACTTTGCCTATCTTAATAACGTTATTTTGATTGCCAGTCCATTAATATTTTGGTCCAAAAGCACAATTTGAGTTATACTAAGCCATACAAACTCTCTGTGAACCCAATCCTGGGGATTTATATTCCAGGACCCTGACCGAGGCTGGAGTGGCCTCTTGGAGGATGAAGATTTATGGGTCAATTTAATTGGTTTTAGGACTAATGATAAATTTCCGTAATGCATCAATAATTTTAGGGCACATAGAAAAAATTATTAGATTATCACTTTTTTTTTTTCAAATTGATGAGGGAGGGTGGTTTTTTTTTTTTTTTTTTTTATTGGAACATGAGATTATTCCAGGAGGGACTGTTTATATTTGGTCTGTAATAGTAAATTGTATAAAAACTGGTTTAACTTTATAGTTTTTTAAAGAAAATGAATTTGAAGTCACAAAATTGCATTATTTTATGCTGTTGAAATAATTGATGCGGAGCAACTGCAAAAGTTCTAGTTCCGTAGAACTTAACTCTGCAAGTTGAAATAATTTAGGTATAAGACTAAAATGACTAAACCCCACAGGTTTTCCAAGGGGTACTGTACGAGAGCCCTCATGACCCTTCTATAGTTAAGGGAACACCCAACTCTCACCTCTCAAACCATACTAAAGGTGATCTTCTCATTCCTAAGCCTAATCTAGAAATCTTTAAAACTTCATTTAGCTATAATGCTCCTTACATCTACAACTCTCTTCCACCGATTGTCCGTTCTAATTTCTCTTTCTCTTCTTTCAAATCCAACCTTCTTTCTATCTTCCATCCAACCTTGTGTAATTTTCCCTGTGGCCATCTCTTTTTGTTGCAATATTTTTAATTGTGATTTTGTTCTGTTTTAAATTGTAAATTATTTATCTTTTATAATTTTTCTATTTTTTGTTAGTTCAATTAATTATCTTCTCATTAATTCTTTTGATTATAATATTTTTATTTTTATTATTTTTCTGTCCAATATGTGAATTTTTTAAAATATTTTTTTATTTTAATGTTTTCCTTAAATCATTATTTTATATAATTTATATACTGTAGGCCTATATCTGGTTTTTTTTTTTTGGATGGACCACCCTCACAAAATATTGTTGAAATAAATAAAAATACTTGTAGGCCAGCCCGCCTCGGACCATGTAGGTTATCAATTGCTACTTGCATTCCCAGGTAAAAAAATCTTGCATTTGCTGAATGTACACTGAATCACATGGCCATCATGTAAATACTGTGGAATGCCTCTTTATATTAGAATGTTTGTTTTTTCTTACCAGCATATTTACTTGAATAAACTCCTAGGCATTAAGTTTATGATAAGGTTTTTAAAAGGCAGTTTTCAAGTGAGGCACTATTTTGAAGAATAATACTTTTTTTTTTTTTAATGTAACATGAATGACATATATATAATATGGTATAAATAAATATATTCATATTGTCAGAAATTGAAACTACTACTACAGTGAAAACATATTGTCAGGATTTCATTAGTTTTAATGTGAAACACTTGAATGATGATGTATGTGTTGGTAAGAAATAAGTACGGGAGCGGCAGGAACGCCTAATACATTTTTTTCAGGCTGAAGGGTCCTAACCTATCTTAGCTGGTTTGTAGAATATGGCATCTCTAGATGCTCAGAAATACTGGTGTCCCAAGCAGTGGAACTTCAAAATTCACCTTATGCAAATTAGCACTCCCTCCCTCAACTGACCATCAAGCCCCCACTTCACATTTACGCACCCCCATCAGCACCCCCACTTCAAGACTCATAGATACAGTAAGCCACTGCCCGAAAGCAAGGAGAATCTCCCAGAAAACAACCCATCTCCTGCAAATTCAAAATACTTGCACATTTTTACTACTGTGTTATCTGTCTCACTGAAGTCAGTGCCGATGGGTATCACAATACACAGCAAAATAAGATAAGATGGCCATTGTATTTAACATAGACACTCGCTTGCCTATAGTTAATAAAGCAGTCGTGTTTTTTTTTATAAAATTAGGTATGTTAAGAAAGCTCATTTAAACAGGTCTCCCAAATAGTGGCTTCTTCCAACTTGGGACCCTGGAAATGGCACTCATAATAGATATAAAAATATTTTTCATAACTAGTGTCTTGTGTTTTCAAAAGAAGTTAATTACAAGTACATATTATAAACATCTCATTTTTAAAAAATTGGTCAAAATATTCTAACATTTCTCAAACAATGAAATGTTAATCGCACCTAGGATTCCAGTCATTTTTAACCAAAAAAGTCTATGCAAATAGTATGTGATCTACTGATTTTTATTAAGGTATTACTATCCATACTGCAGACTCAGCAAAGCAATATTTGTTTAAAATTGTTTATTAAAATATCATTAGGAATTTTGGATATTCTAATCAAGAACTAAATATTAAATTGACAAAATATGGCCATTGTGAACAATAAATCAAAAACCTGTTGGTCTAATAACATTGTGGGAAAAAATACATGACATGCAATGCAGTGAAGAAAATTAATTTGAAAACTGAACAGACTCTGTATATTGAATAATAGGCTAAATTTATATAAAATTCCAGTCCAATATCATACCGGTAACTGTTTTAATACAGATACAGATAAATATGTTTGGTTGAATTCAGTGTTAAAAATTACTAAAATATTCCCACAGCTGTTTTCTGATCTCTTGTGTAGTACGACTATAACCTGAAGTGACCTTCATGCTTTTTATAGTTTTTGTAACTTCCATTTAATTCTGGCAAGTAATGCTGGGTCACAGTATGGGGCCTTTATTTGAGAAGGAAATTATCCAAAGTGGGGTTTTTAATCTAATATATACGGCATTTTAATTTTATTTGATTGGATTTGATGTGTTGTTTTCTTTATAGTGGCAATTGATGCTGTGCGATTGAATATGCTTCTCAATAATGTAACCTTGGAAACCTCATCTGAAAACCTTATTGGACATCATTACACAAATTTGGATGTTGTTTTGTTGGGAGATATGTTCTATGATAAGGATTTCTCTAACATGCTCAATGATTGGTTGAAAGAATTGGCAGCAAGAGGAACAACAATTCTGGTTGGTGACCCAGGAAGGGTTTATCTTAGGGACCATCCTATCAGAAGCAAGCTTTTAAAGTTGATGGACTATGAATTACTTGAACAATGCAAACGAGAAAACAATGGGTTGAGTAATGGGTATGTCTGGCAGTTTCAAAGTAATGAGTAGTTATGTTTTCAGGAATGCAATTTCAGTGCTAAGTGGAAGATTTCCGTAGTACCTGATTTATTCCAAATTACACATGCTGTAATTAAAGAGAAAACAACTGCCGTGGAATGTGCCCCCACCAATACTGAATATAGGTTTTGAAAAGGGGATGCTTGGTATAGAAATATTACATCCACTGAACATAGGCAAAGTACAAAACTATATCGATTTTTACGACTACACCATAATTGGTTGTTAACGCTAAAGTAACTTACTTTGCCATTTATTTCCATAAATTTACTATTATTTCTTTCATGTTTTTCAAGAACAAGAAGGTGTGGGAGTATTTAGGTACGCCATTGCCCACCGCAATCATTTATAGCTCCATCATTGAATTTTAAGTTAAACTACTGTACAAAACAAGAACTCTCATTAAGTACTTGGCCTGTAAACATCTAGCAATAAATAGGCAATGCAATAAAGAATTCCATCTACTGTATAAAAAGGATATAAAGTTTCATTGCATTTTTCAAATAGTTTGCTTTATATTCAGGACAAAATTGAATATACTGTACTTGTACCACTTCATACATAGTGACTATGGGTTTTGGTTGTTTTTTTTCCAGATTAAAAACATAGAATTACATTGAAACTTTTAATTATATTTGTTGTGTTTTGTCTAATTTAAGTTAAAATAAATATTATTTTATATTCAATACACAAACAGAAGAAAACAAACGTGAGACAATGTAAAAGATTACAAATTTATTAAACTTCAACAAAATGATAAATTTCTACTATTTGTGCTTTTTAACATTAGTACAAGTATCTATTAAATAAAGAATGTAACTGTTTATATTATATATTTAAAAAAACAATTAAATATTATATAATTTATAAATTATAATTTAAACAAGTGAATCTGCAGTCAATGTATTCCAGTGCCTTTTTTATCGATTTACTGCATTACAATCTGATGATGATGCACTAAGGAACACTTAACACCTGTGAGGTGGTAGAGAAACAGATGTTCCACAAATTTTCATAGAATTAATAATTCTCCATTTTGAGAATGATTATTAATCATCTAGATTCATTAAAACATTTGGAGGCTTCATCTAAACATGTGCCAGCAATCAATAATACTAGTGAGTGAGTTAATGTAATTAACATATAAATATGAAAATGTTTTTATTAAAGGGAGATGAGATATTCTGTAGAACAATAAATACAAAAGTAAATATGGATAGTACAGTTTCTTATGATCTTCCCATCAAGAATGAATTAAAAATATAAAATACATGAGGTCACAAATTTTCATAGAATTAATAATTCTCCATTTTGTGAATGATTGTTAATCATCTAGATTGATTACAACATTTGGAGGCTTCATCTGAACATGTGCCAGCAATCAATATAACTAGTGACATATAAATATGAAAATATATTTTATTAAGGGAGATGAGATATGCTGTAGAACAATAAATACAAAAGTAAATATGGATAGTACAGTCTCTTATGATCTTTACATCAAGAATGAATTAAAAATACAGTATAAAATACATGAGGTCACAAGTAAAGGTTATAAGGTGAGAATTATTTTCTTTATATATTATATTTGATATCTTTGTATTTATAGAATTTGTAAATTATTCAAAAAAGATATGGAATATAGCTGTTCCAACATTAAACATGTATTAATTTTTGACATTTATATGGCACCATTCTTCCATAGTAAAATCTTTGGGTGTATTTTAGCTGTTTCTTGGGTGGGACAACTTTATTATAATCTTAAGTTTCATCAACCAACACTATAAAGAATTACATATTTGTTAATACTATTAGTATTAAAGTATTATGAATACCAAATGAGTAAAAAATAAATGCAATAATGAAAATGTTTGCAAACACAAATAACACAACTTTGATCACATTACATTCCAAAGTTAAAAACACCAACAAAATTGGATACTTTAACATACATGTGTACATATTTTAATTAGAAATTGCTAATATCAATTATAATTTTTGTAATAATTAGTTGATTTATAGGTAGTTATTATGGAAGTCTTACTGCTTGCCAGCAATAATAATAATGTAAAGTAAATGACCCAATAACCACCATGGTGCTAATGGATTTTCAAGAGGGGCTTATTCATGTGCAGCATTTATATGTGTTTAACACATCTTTGCAATATTTGTATGATTATGGAAGAAACTGTTAACTGTTAGTTATTTTCCAGGTGACACAAAGGATCCAGGCACACATTGTATGTACAGTACCTCGATTAAGTGCCGCAAAGTTTATTCAAAACAGAATAAGTCCCAGCAGGGTTTATACGATAGAAACGCTTATTCAAATGAGGCACTTATTAGATCATTTACGGTAATAATGTTAAAATTATGAATGCTAATTTTAATGCCCATTTTAAGCTAAGCTTATGTTGCCCTTGCAATTCAACTGGCCTTTGGCAACTAGGCAGCAACTGTGAGTTCGTGTGAGTTGAAGCAACACAAGTCCTAATTTTTGAAAGTAACTGAAAATTTCCAGATGCTCTGGGATCTGGGAACCAGACAAGCAACTGAGTAACTTTAGTCATTATCTACAAGCAAGCCATGCATACTAAAGTTAGCGTTGTATAGCACTAGTTGTAGACAATCTGCAGTTAGAAACAACATTAGTGCACTTTGCAACATGGCCGTTCCAAGGCAAGCAACGTATAACAAAAATATAAAAGAAATTGCATTGCTTTGCCATGCGATGGCATAACTAGTTCTACATAGTTGCACAACTGTGAGTGAAAGTCAAAACTTGTGCTACCAGCAACTACAGTAGATGAATTCAGTTGGGTTGAGTCGAGTTGCAAGGCCAGCATAAAGCTTAATAGCTTTATATTCTATTGAACAGTCATATGAAATCCAATTCAACATATTTTAAAAATTTCCCTGACCACATTTTTTTAAAAAGTTTTAAATAAAATTCACAATTTCATATTTAATTTTTAAGATTTTAAAAACATCCAATTAGTCATATGATCAAGTGATATTGCCATTGATGTTAATTATTTTCTAGTGGACACCTAATCAGAGACCTCTAGCCAAATGCCAAGGAAGTGATTGAATAACTTCATTATGTTATGAAATATGTCACATGAGACTAGCAACAGCAGGCGCAAAATCACCTGATCATCATTCCCAACAAACATCACATGGCTGCTATTAACTGTGAATATGTAAAATTTATGTATGATGTGTTGTATGAATTTAAATGGAATTTTGAAGGAATACAATATGTAGTGAAAACTGGAAAAAATACCTTTAAAATTGTATTGCTAATTTAAAAGAATCGATAAGTTATCAACTTCCAGTGAGACCCAGATTGTAACAGTTAACACAAAAATCATTAAAAAGAAACGCGTGACAGTATACTGTATATATATCCAGATGAATATAATAATTCATCTGGACAAGTTTTTTTGTTCTATATTTTTTAATTGAAAGCAGTAATACAAATTATTAAGATCAAGTTTTGTTTGACAAAAAACTGCCTATATACCTGTACAGTATGGTCATGATGCGATGTCATTATGACCATATTTAGCATTACATGTTTTTGTCAAATATAATTTAATAGTTTGAATAGTGCTTCAGATCAACGCAGAAGGTACCATAAAACCTCAAATTAAAGCCCTGGGCTTTTTTTTTTGCGAACTTTGGATGGGCTTCTTTTCGCGGCCACTTTTGCAAAGTAAAGAGGGGGCTTCTTTTCAAAATGAATGCTGTAAATTTTCGGAATTAGTACTATACAACAATAAATATGGCCACTGCAACATCAATCTCTGTATCATGGAGTGTATCAACCGGTATTAAATCACCTAAACTACTGTATAAAGCAAGCAAGTTGAAATTTATTTTGTTTCTTTGAAATTTATTTACAGTGTATGTACTGTACTAGCCTTTACTAGCCCATGGGCTTTTTTTCAAGGCTAATTTTGCAAACTAAAGAGGGGCCTTCGATTTGAGATGGGCTTCTTCTGGAGATTAAGGCAACGGTCACACTAGAGTTTCAAGCCTGGCTTGACTCACCGCGGGTGAGATTTTCGTAATGTGACCACATTTGCACCGACTCGCGCCTGGCGTGACCTTGATCTCAATCTACCTATCTCGATCCCGGCTCAGCACCCATATTGACCCTGGATTGACCCTGGCGTGACTGAGATTGACATTTCCTCGTCGGCTGTCGACGAATCACAGTCGATGACGCCGTTGTGCTTGGAAGTTCTTGAATTAAAAACCCGCGAGTTTTTCATGTGTGTTCAATCAAGACGCAATCATTACTTTTCATAAAAGTTAATTCAAATTTTAATTAATAATAATGCGATTGATTTGGAGCGACCAGGAAACTGCTGACCTGGTAGATTTGTGGGGCCAACCCGAGCTGAGAGACCGGATAGAGAATAAAAAAACAAACAACAAAACGGGAATTTTTGGCGTGCTTGCTGACAGATTAGCCAGTCTCGGACACGAGAAGAGAACGAAGGCCCAAATTCAAACAAAAGTGAAGGCATTGCGAGCCCAATACAAGCTGATAAAAGATCAGTTGAAGAAGAGTTGTTCGGGCACGTCTGGTGTAAAATCTTTGATTGCGATCCACCCAATCACACGCGCGTATATCGAATCCTGTGAAACAGAGTTGGCGAAACTCTCTCTTTACGGCTCCGCTGTTTCGACTTTCATAATTTGGAGGTGAATCCAACTAGTGTGACCGACCCAGAATTTCGAGCCTGGCTGGAAATCTCACCCGCGGTGAGTCAAGCCAGGCTTGAGACGCTAGTGTGACCGTAGCCTATGCCCATTGGGCTTCAATTAGAGGTTTTATGGTACATAAATGATTTGGTGAATCAATTATTTTTAGACAGGAGAAAACAAGGACAGTGTCTGTTTTAGTAATAACCAGGGAACAGTGAAATTCCCTGGTAATAACAATTAACAGCACAATATGAGGGCACGTTCACCGGGTTCTCCCTTCCCCTGAATCAGCCAATGATTTCTCATAATTATGTTCTTAAAATGCAATTAAAAAATCTTAAAAGAACGATATTAATGAATTTAAAAAGAAAAAGCAGCAGCAAAAATAATATATTCATTAAATGCAATTCAAAATTCTTAAAAGAACAATATTAATGAATAAAAAAAAACCCAGAAACAGCAACAGCACAATGCAATATGGAAAGCAGCATGTTACTACAGAGACAGAAACACAAATAAAGCGGATGACAAAACAAACCAAAATTCACATCATTCTGGAAAATAATCAAACTCAGGAAATGGAAGTGGGAAGATGTCAGCAAAAGGTCAAACAACCAAGAAACAAAAACAGTAATGGTATAGAGACGCAGATGGCAACAGGAATACAGTAAAGGCAGAATTTAAATGGTTGAAGGAAATGATAAACAAATATTGGGAAAGAGTGAAGCGGTACAACACGAGTGAAACGCTAAGGGTTTCGTCCAGTAGTAGACTGACAAAGGTGAATAACGATGGTGATTTATAAATTCAATGAAAAGAGGTATAAGATATAATAGTACAAAACTTGGTGCCTGATCTTTGAGTTAATCCTTATGATATAAATGATAGACTATAAATGACAGTGGCACATATCCTGAGTTTGGGGAATGACACCCCATTTTGACACTAAAAATTAATAATTTTCAGTATTAAAGTAAGTGTTTAAAAAAACTATTACCTGCATTAATAAATACTCTAACATTTGTTTGTTTTTCTGATAACAAGTTCATTATAATGATTAAATAATAAATCCAGAGCATTATAAATCAAATAATAAAATTGTGAATAATACTCATAAAATTAAAATTAAATTTATTCACGCGAATCAAATGCGTTGGTTCGCTTTTTGAGCTCTGATTGTTTGCGCATTGTTTTGGTTCGCAAAAAGTAGAAACAGTCTGAACTACTAATTTCACTGAAGCGAAAAATTCATGAACCGACGCTTTCAATTCGTTCGAATAAATTCGCCTAGTAAAAACCAGGCTTAAAATGAATCTCTTCACTTTTTATGATATGGTCTTTTTCTTTTCATTACATTTGTGAGTGACAGCGCTCTGAGAGATGATTATAGGGCACTATATTAAAAACCTAATCCTCCATTTAAAGTGAGCCCACATTAAATCCTGCCAATCATAGTTTAAATGTAAACAGTGAAGCTCTTCACGCCAGTGTTTCTGGCTGTGAGTCAGTGTGTAGCATTTATGCCATTAATTAGAACTTACTACCCACTGACCTACATACGTAGGGTCGTTAGCTTAAAATCAAAACAATGGCAATACCTATTATTTTATGAACACATTATGTACATCAATAGTATGCCATAAATTTATATAAAATTGGAAATATTACATAGAGAAAATGAATATTATTTCTCAATGTGCAACCAAGGTCCTAATATAAAATATTTGAATACATTTCTTTTTAAACCAA